GGAGAGATTACGGCAACAGATAAGGGCCAGACCAGCAGGCTTCTAATCTCCCTTTCAACTTTAAGGCTGAGTCTTACAATCAAGTGCAGGAAAGGAAGAAGCAAATGATAATAAAGGTTACAATTCCTCCATTTCAGTGTGGCATTTGAGAAATATTTTTGTGTCTTCTATGGGCCAGGTGTTCTCCTGGGCTCTGAGCAGAGACAGCTGTGGCCCAGTTCCAGGGAGTCTGCAGTTTACCTGAGATGCAGTGCGGGGACACAAACCCCAGTCTGACACCTTTTCTGCCTCCTTCCTCTACCAGAAATTCAAAGAAAATCCTTCCTTGCTTGCTTCCACCCTCATTGGGCATTTCATGGGTCCAGGTACACATCAAAAGATTTTACCACCTGGTGCTTATATTGCCCTCTACAGGGAAACTGAGGAGCTGACTCTCATATCCTTCGGGAATGAGTTTAAATGAAGCCCAGGAAAGGTCACCCTTTACCCCACTGGAGCACCCTGTTTATTTCCTTCATGGCATTTATCACATCTGTAATTATTCTGTTCATTGATTTATCTTTCTCTTCTAAAAAAAATCACCTCTGCCTTATTGACTATAATGTCTGGGATACATACATATATAGAGATAGATAGATATATAGATATATATCTATCTATATATATATGACTGCACATAGGTTTGAACTCGGTAAATATCGGTTGAATTACAAATCAATGTTGATTATATCATCCATATAAACTTTCTTTGCAGTGACATCACAAATATTTCCAAAGCCAGACTATTCAGTCTTTTACCACAATGCTATTTAGCAGCTAATTAATTTACCTTGGCTCCATCTTCAAATTTAAGTTCTCAGATACTCCATCTTCAAAGGACACAGAGACACCCACTTACTAATCCCAGTACAGTGTGAATTCAGATAACAGCACAAAGTTGGGAAAGAAGGGGGCAATTTTAAAAAATGATTATGATAAAATGAAGATGTAAAATGTCAAAAAGAAATGGAAATCATTGCTGTTCATAAGGTAACCTTTGCTTAATGGTTGAAAATGTGGCAATAATTCTCAGCATTTGATGGAAAAATGTCCCAGGATGGGAGTCTGGCATAGAGCAGTCATAGAAAGAAGATTCCTTTTGTTTTCAAGTCTGTCACACTATTTGCACAGGATTTACTTACAATGAAACTTTGAAGATAAAATAATTTATAATTAAGTCTTTCTAAACAAGGAGGGGAAGACTCATAACACTCAGACTCCAGCTGCGACCTCAGAATTATGGTGCAGATAATGAATGCACCAATTGGTATTACCTTTGCATTTTCTTCTGAGACCATTAAATTAGAGTCACTGTGAGAATTTATAAAGGGAGAACCACTTAGGAGACAGAACATAACATTCAACATCACCTTGAATGCTGTACCCATGGTGTCCCCTTCATGATTCATGCCCAGTTGTAAAGAATATTATATTTCTCCACATCTCCTCCTGTCTTATGTCTAGAACAGATTCTCAAATGGATAAGGAAATCCTCAGGAAATTCTGTGGTTGGTATCACAAACATTGATGCAGGTTACAGAAGCGCTGACAGTAAAGCAATGTCTAAGGTGAAAAGGATAGTTAAGGAATGAGCCTTTCTTTGACCAGCTGTTTAGATGCTCTTGGGATTCTATGGAAATCATTGCAGCACCCAGCATGAGCCTGGTGTCTCCACTCTTTGCTCTTAGCGTGCTGAAGGATAATTTTAAAATATAGAGTGACAATCATCTTAATAGCTAAAATTCACTAAGTGCACTGTAGAAATATCCATTGGGATTTTCCTGGTGACACCACCCTAATAGCAAATTTAGGAAATTATCCCTTCATTATTGTGAGCAAGACTGATAGGCCTCACCAAGTAGTAGGCAGTGACCTAAATTGGGCTGAGTTTTAGCTGCTGCTGAAACTTCAATTCTCAGACAGAATGACACAATAAAAACATCTGATAATGCTTGGGCTGTCAGTAGGTTCCTGGTAATAATGTGTCTTGTCCTTTCTGAGCTTGGATTCCAGCTGATCTTATGATACTATGAGCTACCCCACAGCCTTCTAATAAAGTCTAACATTTACGTGTGTATTCATTTCCTAGGGCTGCTATAACAAATATTACAAACTGAGCACCTTAAACAGCAGAAAGTATTCTCTTATTGGAAAATCTGGAAACCAGAAGTCTCCAGGTGTTGGCAGAGTTGGTTTCTTCTGAGGGGTCTGAGGAAGAATCTGTCTCCTGCATACCGTAATCCAGGTAGTCACATTGTAAATACTTATTTCCAAATAAGGTCACAGCCAGAGGCTTCAAGTGTACATACGTTTTAAGGAAACACTAATTAATCTAGTGTAGCTTGTAACCAAAAATCTCTGACTGAGCCAACCTAGTATTAAGAGTGGGTTCTAGGGCCAGGGATTTAGCTCAGTGGTTCTGCCACCTGCCTCACAAGTGCAAGGCCCTGAGTTCAATTCAAAAAAAAAAAACAAAAAAAAGTGGGTTCTATGTATTATCTGTTTTAATCTTTCTTTTTCTTTGTGTTTTTTGGTACTGGGGATAAAACTGGGGTCCTTGCCTTTGCAAGACAGGCAGAGAACCACTGAGCTAAATCCTTGGCCCTAGCTGTTTTCATCTTGACAACCACCGTTGTGGTTGGCACATTTATTTTCTTCATTTTAGAAGTGGAAAATGAAGACCTAGAGAATTTGTGCTCAGTAAGAGCACAAGGAAGATTCAAGGTAAGGTCTGTATCTTTACAAAACTCTTCTGTTCACTACATTATAAAATAGGTTTGCTTTAGTCAGAAATGCATTATTGTTCCCCAACCCCAAACCATTTGCTATTAAAAAAAATGGTCCATTTACAAATTTGAGCAAGATCTCCACATCTCTGCCTGACTACTTACTCTACCTTCTCTGTACCTTGGCACCAAATGACAACCAAAGTCATAAAAACAGAGAAACAGAAAAATCCTGGGACAGCCGGAGAACTGGTGCCATAACGGCCTGGTGGGAAGTCACGTGGTGATAGGGACAGGAAGAGGCCTGCAGAGCTTCAGAGCTCAGAAGACCCTCAGCTGAGTGGGGACTTGCTCAGAGTGTTCTGCTAGTCCATCTGTACTTCAGGACAAAGTCAGATGCGCCTGGAAGCCTCCACCAGATAGAAAGAGTCATGTTCTTCAAAAACATTAGACCTGGGTTTTTTATATTTCTAACAGACTGACTTTGATCTATCAGATGATTACCCCACCATCATCTTCTTCAAGACAGTCTATGACTCAGTTTCTCCCTGGGATGAGAGCATCAGGTCCTGGAGTGGATTCCTGATGTGTTATATCACAGGTGGATCAGAACATCCAAAAGTAAAGATTGAATCCATATTCTTTAACTCAAATCCAGGGTGAAACTGTGAAGCTACAGGACAGTGTTATTTGTACTTCTTTAGAGCTGAACCAGCACCTGAAGATGTCAAATAACATAAGAAGTTTCTTTTTGTGGTCAGTCTCATTGTTGTAAAACTACTACACATTCTTCATAGAAATATTAAACGAGATAATAAAAAAGCCAGGCATGGTGCCACACAAATGTAATCTCAGTACTCTGGAAGGCTGAGGCAGAGATGTTGAAAGTTCAAGCCCAACCTGGGCAACTCAGTGAGACTTTTGTCTTAAAATAAAAAAATTAAAATTAAAGAACAGCTAGGGATGTCAGCTGAGTGACAAGTCACTAGGTTCAATCCCCAGTGCCAGAAAACAGAGAGAGAGAGAGAGAGAGAGAGGGACAGACAGGGAGAGGGAGAAAATGAGGAAGGAAGATTATTTATTAGTCTACCATCTGGAGACCTCTGCTATAAACATTTTTATCTGTATCCTTCCAGACTTTTTTGCTTTTGTTTTTTGAGACACAGTCTCACTATGTAGTTGAGACTACTGACCTGGAACTCACTATGTAGCTCAGGCTGGTCTCGAACTCACAGCAATCCTCCTGCCTCAGCCTCCCGAGTGCTGGGATTATAGGCGTATGCCACCACACCTGGGGTCAAATGAATGAATTTTAATTTTTTCAAGTTGAATCTTTTTCAAAGCTACCTGGAAAAACAACATTTTAAATTTCAAATATGTAAAAAAAAATCCAATAATGCCACCATGCCTGGCTTTCCAGACTTTTTTTTAAATCTTGCACACTGCTCTAAAAATGGTATCATATGCACATAGTTTACAACCTGTTTAACCTAAAAACATATCCAAAACATATTTTCATCTACTCTATGACTTGTCATGGCTGTATAATTCATCATACAGTTACCCTACTGTTTATGTTGTTCCATGCTTTTGCCAAAATTTTTCATTTTCCTGCTAAATCTTTACAATAATTTATTTCCTTAAACTCCTTCAAATGTAATTATTGGAGTTGAGATGTACCTCAGCAGCTGAGTACTTGCCTAATATATGCCATACCCTGGGTTTGATCTCCAGCACCTTAAAAAAGAAAAAAGAATGTATAAAAAAAAACTTAGCTATTGGGTCAAAAGCTATGTAACTCTTGGAAGTTCTTTCTGTATGTACTGCTAAGCCATCTACCAGGGAGGCTGTGCCAATTTATACTCCTACCACCAGAAGATAAGGGAGACCATTTTGTGCATCTTTGCTGATAGATTTTTGTCATTCACAAAAAATCTTTGAAGGCACCACTTATTCTAAGAAAGCATCCACAGGGCTGAAAAAAGCAAGGTTCTTCCAGCTGAGGAGTAAATGTGAGTCACTGGAAGACTGGTCCAGTTATTCGGAATCCATTCAATTGCTGTCCTTGAGTCTGATGCAGCTTTTACTCTCACTGATCTCTTGGGAAAGAAAATAGTAAGGAAGAGCTTAAATGAAGAGGGAAACATACAAACTCTCCTGTCTCTGCAGACACTGAAGAGGCCAGTGCTCCAGTCCCCACCAGTCTGAACAATCGCTGTGACTGTGGTCCTGCTACTGGCTCCGCGGACAGGCTGCTTCACTACGGGGCGGGCCGGTGCGTGGGTCCTGGAGAGTCAAGATAGCAATTAATTTGGAAACCAAGATGTTCAGAGTAACATTTGAGCAAGACAGAGTGATAATGAGAGGAAGCCAGTGGTGCCCAGCGTGACTTCGCCATCTCCCTCCCTCCTCTTCCTCACACCCCCTATGACTTTTTGCCATCTCTATTAACGACATTATTCCAAAACCTGTAACTGATTCAATATCTAGTCTACCTCTGCAATGTTTCCCAGTGCTTAATAAGTTCACATATTCGAAACCAAGAGGGATCAGTTGAAATCCCAGCATGTCACTTCCTGGAGACTGACTGGTTAATTGGCTTATTTTCTCTGCTTTCTGTTGGTTTGGATGAAAAAACTACTTGATGAGGTTGTTTCAATTAAAGGAAATATAATTAGTTCACTGTCTCCAGAGTGTAACAAGGTGAGATAACCTCTCAGCCCCACCTCTGGTACTGGGGATTGAACCCAGGGCCTTCACTCTGAGCTATATACTGAGCCCTTTTAAAAATTTTTATTTTCAAAGGGTCTTACTACATCTCTGAATTGTCCAGGCTGGGATTGAACTTGGGACTCTCCTGCCTTAGCTGGGATTACAGGCATATACCACTATGCCAGGCTACAAGGTGACCTGAGTGAGCTACATCCCAAGGGTTTTGAACCTTTGTTGAAGACAATCTGATAAGCAATGGAAAACCTGGACCAGGCTATGGAAATTAACAAGTAATATCACTTAAGTGAATAACCCTGTTCAGACTATATCTTGATATCAAATTATAATATGATCTGTCCTGGTAGGATCAAAAAGTATAACTTTGGGTTCTCTCCAAAAAGAATGGATGATCAAACTGTCATCCAGAATTAAGGGATGAAGGCTCGGGGCGGGGGGGCTGGATGCCTCCTTCTCTTTCTGAGGCTGAAAGTCAGTTATTACTGAATTGTAATAGTGAGGATGGCTGGAGTGATTCCCACAAGGAAGGGTAACTACACCTCACCTCGTGAAGATGTGGGTCAAGAGTGGGGCAGAAGGGCCATATTATGAGTCTGAGCTCGGACAGTGGTCATTATCCCATGAGCTTCTTTTTCTTTTGGCCAGCCTCATTAAGAATTTGCACCTGACCTCTGGTGTGCTATGAAAAAGTAAAGAGTGTGCCTCACACTTCAGACAAAATAAACAATTACCAGTACATGTGGACACCACTGATAGTGACTGAAGTGGTCTCCAGGTCTTCCACTGGATGGCAAAGAAAACAGGAGGTAAACTGGAAGAGAAGATCAGCACACACAGAAGTGAAGAGCTACTGACACGTTAAGAGACACCTAACAGAAGTGGAAATGCTGCACCAGAGCTTGTGAGACAGGCTGGGGTCGGCAGTGATTCGCCTAGAACTGGGTAGAGGATCTACAAGACATCTTACAGCACTTTTATCCATTAGGCATCACAGATATGATGATATCTAATGAGTTTTTCAGAGCCTATATAAGCGAGACTTGCAATGAGTATTGACTCACGATATAAAAAATGCCAAATACAAACTAATGCTTAAACACAAAAATTTAACATTGTTAATTTCATTAACTGTCAAAGGTAGAACTCATATGTATTTTATTACATTTGAAAGTAAATTGTAAATTTTCCTGCTTTGCAAAAATTCCCAAGTACCCGTGATTGCTGAGAAGTAACCGCTCGTGATTAAGTGAATTACTCATGGTGAAATAATTTCAAGAGCAAATTTATGATAGATATTGAGAGAGAGAGAGAGAGAGAGAGAGAGAGAGAGAGAGAGAGAATGTGGTCCCATTTTAATGTTTTTCATGTGAGTTAGAGCCTTCTTCTGCAGGCCGACTTTTGTTCCCTAACGTTTCTGTGTCGACCCTCTAGCCTCCAATGTGCTATACATGGCGATAAAGCTCTTAGAAGGTAAATTAATAGAGCTCACAGGGGTGAGACACTAGCTCAGTAGGATTGGTAGCTTTATAAGAGGAAGGCACAGCTCTCTCCTCTCTCCCTCCCTTTCCTTCTCCCTCTCCTCTCCTCTCTTCCTTCCCCCCTCCCCACATGCACAGGGGAAATGGTCATCAGCACACTGTAAGCCAAGAAGGTGTTGCATAATACCTTTTATCACAGCAAGGAAGCCTGTCTTCTATCATTTCCAAATCAAATAACCAAGAGGACAGCTTTTCCTTGGTGGAAAAGGTGTTTGCCTAATATTAAACTCAAGGAGAAATATTATTTCTGTCCTTACTACATCTCTGGTGATTTTTCAATTAAAATGTTTGAATTTACATACATCAGCTATGACATTGTTGTCAAGATTACTGCCTGTTTGCCATAATTAAAATAACAACCATATTCACCCTTCTCTGAGCATGTTCTATGTGCCAGGCACTTACTAACCCAGTTAAGAACTCAAGGGTAAATCAGGGTCTGCTACAAGTGTAAGACTAAAGTAACTATTTTAGTTTGCTGAACTGCTTTTCTTAATGCTATCCCAGGAAATCTTATGCTACCACGAACAGGAGTTTGGAAACAGCAGGTGAAGCTGATGAACACAGTACTATGCTAAATCAGAGAATCTATCCATTTATCAAGTTCATTTGCTGGGAACAGCACGAATTTCAGATTTAGCTCAGTGGTTCTGCCGCCTGCCTCACAAGTGCAAGGTCCTGAGTTCAACCCCTGGTACCAAAAATAAAAAAATAAAAATTTCGGTGTAGGCGCATTAAAGTTCAAATATACCACAGCTACATTCTAGTTATTTGACCTTGGAAAATAAAAACTTGTCACATCATTCAGCTCTTCCTCCTCCATAAAACTGGATTTAAAATATCCTAGCTCCTTGATTGCCAGTATTAACCAAGACCATGTACTTGGCACATAGCATGCAGTCCATGGCAGAGCAGATACTGTTATCACTCTCAGGATTTGGTACACACCCTAGGGTCTTCTGTATACTTTCCTGAAAATAAAGGAGATCGGGCCAGTTTTTCAGGTGTCATGTGCTACCTCGATGCCTCAAAACTTAGCTAGGGCAATCAGCCACCCCAATTTTCCCAGGACTAAGGGTTTTACGGGGATGGAGAACTTCAAGTGCTAAAACCAATACAGTCCCAAGCAAACCAAGGGAGCTGGGAACCCTCGTTAGCAGAACCAGTAGGCGACAAGAGGATAGCTCAGTCTGCTCTCCTACCTAGTTAAGCGTCAGAAGATGGACACTTACCCTTTGCCTCATCCTGTTCTATTCTACCCTCCTCCTCTCCCAGCAGTACTTTCCCCACTGCGTGTCCCCACGTGCCCAGTACTTCCCTCGGCCTGGAGCGCTTCACATCACTCTCATCTTACCAAACTAGTTTATTCTGCCTTCTACTCAGGTGTCCTGGACTATTTCACACGCTTTACCAAAGCCAAAACCCTTGAATTTTTCTTTCAAAGGGGTGGAAATTATTGGCAGTCAACAGATACAAAGTTCACTTGACCAGGGTGCTGAGATAGAGAGACCCTTTTACTCAAGCCAGTTCTTTTCACCAGTCAAGCAAGGCCAGTTGCCCCCTTTCCAAGTACACACGGGAAGGACTGAAACCACTTTCTTCCCAAGCCCAGTTTCCCTTTCCCAGGGAATCAAGAAGAGATTGGCTTGACAATCCAACTAAAGTACAAAAGCTGGGGGTGGGGGTGGGCTATTCCTACTTACTACCTCAAATCGGAAATAAAATGTCCATCTTCAAATGAGATCAGTGAAAACAGCAGAGGTGAGTGTGTGTTGTGTAAGGAAACATCCTGAGGACACTTAGAGAAGTAACGTCGAAACCAGTTCATAGCAAACAGTGTCTTCTTGTCACTTGGGATCCTCTTTCCTCTGGCAGTAAGTCGACCGATTCTAGTTTTAGTGTCAACCTAAAATCTCTTTAAAAGAATGTTGATTTGATATTCTAGAACCTGAGGTCACAGCAGTATAACTCACAGACATTGTATCACTTTAAAGACATTTTGCCCGTGTGGTAGCACATGCCTGTAATCTCAGCATTTGGGAGGCTGAGACAGGAGGATCGCTGCAAGTTTGAGACCAAACTACTTTCAGATCTAGGCTACATAGTGAGTTCAAAGCCAGCCTGGAGTACATAGTGAGACCCTGTCTCAAAAACATTTAAAAAAGGCATTTCAAGTGACCATTTTACCAATCTGAAAGGAAATACTAGAGATGCAGTTTAGGTTTTTAAAAATTAAGACATCTTTAGTGGGAAAACTCTTTGGCTTTAAGAGATACCTTGTCTTAGTTACTTTTGTCACAGATATAATACTGAAAACCCACAACTTAAAAGAGGAAAGATTTATTTTGGCCCAGTTTGTAGATTTCAGCCTATCATCTGCTGGCTCCAAGGCACAGTGGCATGGCGGAGGGGCACAGCAGAGATGTGCGTATGGCATGGCAGTGGGAAGCTGACTGGGTGAAAGAGGGAGGGACAGACCCTTCCAGGCCACGCCCAGGGAGGCACCTCCTCGAACAGGCTTCACCGATATCACGTTAGCTGTAAACTCATCCGTGGAGAAATCCACTGGTATCATGGCCCTATGACCCCAAAAGTCCTTCCCAAAAGAGTCACCTCCCAAAAGCCCCTTTCATAGGCACATGAGGCTTTGGGGGAACATTCGGATATCAACCATAACATACCTCTAGTAAGCATTTAACCAGGCAAGTGTAACTGTCACTCGATCTTTCACTGGAAGTTTCAGAAGCTGCAGATTTCTGCCATTCTATGGCTGAGAGGCAGCAGGGGCCTTGCTTCAATCTCCAGACTACTGGTCCAACTGAGCAAGATGAGAAGAGTATCATATATCCAAAAGCAGGGACAGGAAGATCCTTCTGTCCAGATACCACACTTAATCCTTTTTGTTTGTGGTACCAGGGATCAAACTTAAGACCTTGTGCTTTCCAGGCAGGTACAGAGCCACTGAGCTACACCCTGGCCCTTAATAATCACACGAATGTGGTCTTAGATTCTAGACTGAGGAGGTTGCCACAAGCCCCTAAGCCTATCTCAAACTTCTAAGAATCCCTTGCTCTTCCATGAACTGCACTGATAATGCCAGGAAAGTAATGCTTCTTTCCCACTCAGTTCAGAAGGAAACTAGTGAACAAAGCAGGATTTGGCTGGTAAAAGCCTCCCTACTGTTTTGAAAAGCCTCTAAGACATGCTTCACAAAGGGATGGACCTTGGAAACACTGGGAAATGTCTTCAGAGGACCAAAAATCAGGCCAAGTTGCACACTGAGGGCTAGAACTTGAAATCATAATTCAGTGTTACATTAGGAAGACAGTAAGAGCAAATTGAAAACTACTCATATAGTCTTTTCATCGGTCCTATAAATAATACAGATTTTGAACTTCAAAGCATTTACTTACCTAAGATTGTCAGCAAAAGCCTGTAGCACTTCCAAATCAAGATTTGTAGGACAGTTTCATAACTGCCTTCATTCCCAACTGTCACTATCTTAACTACATGTTTAGTTAAGACGTCCTATGTCTACACAGCATCCTACCTTAAAGAACAGCTATGTTTCTTCTTAGCACTCTATGCCAAGTGTGCACACAGCGTCCAGCACACAATAAGAACTTAATCATTTGTTGAATAATCGTGTCATACATGAAAATTCAGGTTATAAGAATAATAAGATAACTAGATTTTTTTTTTAAAAAAAGGATACAGATGGGCTGCGGATTAAGCTCAGTGGTTCCAGCACCTACCTTGTAAGCACAAGGACCTGAGTTCAATCCCCAGTACCAAGAAACAAAAGGATAAAGATTACATTTCCCTTGAAAAGTGAACAACCATTGTACACATAAGCTACAATTCCATTGCTTTAAATTTTCATTTATATCCAACTTTCCTAAACACATATTGTATTAAGTGACTTATCCATATACCACAGCTAATTTACTTTAAAAATGACTGAAAAAAAAGTTCAGTGCAGAATGCCAACTATTTAAAAAAAAAAAAGAAAGAATAGCATAAGAAAATAATTTTGCATAGCCCACATCTTAACTATTTATTAGGAAAGTATCTTCAAGAGGCACTAAACTATTTGATAAAAGGATTGGGAACAGAATATTCTCAAGGTGTCAAAATATCAATCCACATATTTCTAATTGCGAAAGAAAAAATATATATATATCATCTCTGGAGAGGTCCGGAAGTACTCCAAATGCATCTTTTCAAGGGAAAGTTCTGAAGTGTTTTTTTAAAAGTAATCTGCAACAAAAGCTGTGGAAATAGTTTTTTTCCAGTACCGGGAATTGAACTCAGGACCTTGCACTTTCCAGGAAGGAGCAGCAACACTGAACAACATCCCTGGCCCTGGTAGAAGTAAATTCTTCTTTTTTTTTGGTACCGGAGATCGAACTCAGGTCCTGCGCTTGCAAGGCAGGCGGTGGCACCACTGAGCTAACTCCCTGGCCTGTGGAAGTAGTTTTAACCAAGGTATCTTTATAACAGAACATCCTGGAAGTGATCAAAACATACTCTCAAGACAGGTAATTTGGGAATTTATAAAATTTAGTGTCACTAATAGTGAAATAAACTAAGATCATATACCTCTTGATATGATGCAATGGAAGTAATGTTTAACCTAAACTTCAATAATTCTCAGACCATGCTAACAAACAGAAACATCACTGGAGCCACATATGCAATCTTAAGTTTCCTATAAGTCACATTAAACAAAAAAAGTAAAAAGAGGTGAATTTTATATTTATTTAAACCAATATATTTAAAATAATACTATTTCAGGGAAATAATTTGGCGGTGGGGTGGGGGCTTTCCAACAAGCACCAGAAGACCTGCTAGACAAATTCTAAAAGAGCTGTAACACTTAGGCAAATAATATTTTAAAATTATTGTTGAACTTTTTAAATTTTTTGCATACTAACTTTTTAAAATCCAGAGTATATTTTACTCTTAGAGCAAGCCCTCCTTAATTTGAATTAGCCAGATTTCAAGTGTTCTACAGATACATGTGGCTGGTGGCTAAAGCACTGGACAGCACAACTCTGGACTTACCTTCCAGTAAAGAAATACCAGAGACAGAGGGGACATACTGCCACCTACTTACTGTTCCTTACGTCCCCTGGGAGCGAGGGCCATGTCCTACCCTTTTTTTTTTCTTTTTACCTTATAACCAGTTAAGCTCCATGCATAGCAGTGAGCAATTTAAAACTTAATTGATGCTGCACGTTTTGGGGTGGAGCATTATGTCCAGACTTTAAGCAGAGAGCCACGCATGGTGGTACAAGCCTATAATCCTAGCACTTGGACGGATGAGTCAGGAAGATCCGAAGTTCATGGGCTACATAGGGAATTCCCGGCTATACTTCATGAATTCTTTGCCTATCAAATGAGCTGCAATCAACTGGGAACACAGAAAACAGTGCCCCTGCTTCAGTGCTCTGACACTAGTCACCAGGACCTGCAGTGGCCCACTCCACCACTACGCCTCCCTTGCGGCTCCTCAGCATAGTGGCTGCACGCCCAGATGCTCCTATCTCAAGCCTATGTGCTTGCCCTTCCCTCCGCCTAAACTTCTTTTGCCCAGGTATCTACTAACATAACTACATATGCATTTACCTGTGGACCTATAAGCCCACAAATAATAGACATTTATTCTGAAAATACACCTCCACAAATATGAAGCCATTTCCTATAAGGTTATACACTACACACTCTAGAAAAAGTCTATAAACTATCCAATACTTAGAAACAACCTAAGTGAGCATCCACAGGAGACCGGCTGAATAAACGACGGTAAACACTGTAACAGTGCTATGTGGGGAAGCTGAGAGAGAAGGGGCAGAGAGGAAGGAGGGGAAAAAGACCTCTATAAACAAGAGTAGAAAAATACCCACAATATGTTAACTTTCAAAAGGTATCAAATAATTTTACACATAATGCTATGGATAGCTATAGCCTGCTAGTTTGTGTAAGAAAGAATTAAAGTATACATAAATTATTTGCCCCCTTAAGAGAAAAAAACCCAGAAATTAATCACAGTAGTTAGCTGAGTGGGAAGCAGTACAAGAGAATAGTAATTCTCTGAATTTATATGGTTTTGTCCTTTTTTTGTTTTGTTTTTCTTTGTTTTTTTGTTTTTGGTACTGGGGATCGAACTGGAGACCTTGTGCTTGCAAGGCAGGAGGCACCACTGAGCTAAATCCCCGGGCCCTGGTTCTGGCTTTTGAATCACGTATTTTGCTTATTCAAAAAACAAGAAAAAACAAACCATAAAACTAAATATAAAAAGAAACAATAACTTTAACTCTATATGAAAAGCACATACAAAATACAATTCAAGAAATATTTAGAAAAAAATACTTAGGGCAGCACATATGAAAAAAAGAATCCCTCAGTGAGATATGTTTTAAGGACACAATAACTTTAAAAAACTAACAAAACAAGGAAACAGTGAACCCTAGTTAGACTTGTTAATAGTAATACTGGAAAGGTAATTATGAAATTACCTATAAACCAAATGAGTACATATAGTAAGATTCTTAGGAACCTGAGTTCTCACTGTGTAAAAAGGGGAAAAAAAAAAAAAAAAAAAAAGTACGTAGTTCAAGATAGAATTACATGTATTTTTTTTTCTTTTTTTGTTTTTGTTTTTTTTGAGACAGGGTGTCACTATGTAGTTGACAGTGATCTGGAACTCACTATGTAGCCCAGGCTGGTCTCGAACTCATGGTGATCCTCCTGCCACAGCCTCCCAAGTGATGGGATTACAGGCGTGCGCCACCATAAAATACATGTATTTCTTAGCTGTATTCATTGGTATATATATATTTCCTAGCTCTATCCCCTGGAAAAGCCTAAAAAAGCAATGTATTTGGTAGCAGGAAGTATACAAAAAACACTTGCGTCTTGCATTCTTAATACGTACTCCATTAAAATGAAGTAGAGTTCCTTGAAAAGATTGATTCTAGTTCTGGGACAGAAAAACAGAAAGTAAGCCAGGTTTTAGGCAAAGAAATGCGCCAAGTCTGATGGGAGATAACTAAAAGACACAGGAGTCAGTTTGAGTGGTAAATTTAGGAAAATGTGAGCATTCAAAGAATAATGATGGGGTAATTGATCACAGCATATAGATAGATAGATAGATAGATAGATAGATAGATAAACAGTCCACAGTAATTTGAAAAGAATGATGAAAGAAAACAATTCTCTTATAGAATCCTCTTACAGATGATACCTAATGCATGCAGAAGAAATGCTAATCATTTTTAGGAACTCACCATATTACTACCTCCAATGTAGTAAGGGACAGAAAGATTACCCATGAATATCACCCCTTGGTAAAAGCTTGCTTATAAACAGGCATCAGAGTTCATCTGGGCTGCTAAAACAAAGTGTCCTAGACTGGTAATTTATAAATAGTAGAAATTTATTGTGAAGTTCTGAAGGCTGCAAAGTCCAAGGTTAAAGGTCTGGTGAAGGCCATTCTTCAGAGGATGGCACCTTCTACATGTCCTCATATGGTGGACAAGAAGAGAGCTCCCTGCATATCCTTTCACCTCATTCAAAAGCAGCAGCCCTGAGAACCTACTCTTGTCTTTCAAATACCTCACTTCCCAACAGAATCACCATGGGGGCTACATTTCAACATACGAGGCGAGAGAGGGAGACAAGCATTCAGACTTTAAATCCAAAGACGGCACCTCAATGGAGGAATACAAAGACACCATTTTAACTAAGTGATCTAATTTAGTACCACCAATAACGGAACACATCTACAATATATTAATGCTCATATGATGTAATGGAAATTACCCATGTATCACTCTTTCCAAGATCTAAATAACTTCAGCCTGGCTCACACCTGTAACCCCAGGACCTGGAAGGCTGAAGCAGGAGGATTACAGCAAGTTCGAGGCTTCAACCCAGCCTGAACAACTTAGCAAGACCCTGTCTCCCAAAAAAAAAGAAAAGAAAAAGCAAGACAGATGCCCCAAAGGAATCGACAGAAAGAGCATGATTATAACGTATAGCAATCTTATACATGCTTATATATTATTACTGTTATTATTCATCAGTAACATTTACTGAAGGCACTTATTACTTGCTAGGCACTGTACTGTATATATGATTTTCCTAGATTATATCTAAACATCTCACAACAAGCCTACGAAGTAGATTCTATTACTAGTTTTACTTTATAGATGAAATCAAGGCTCTGCATAATTGCTCACACCATCCACACAGCAAATCAAAGAACTGGAAACCTAATGTAACTACAGTCTTCTGACTTCAGAGCAGGCAATCTTGGCCCCCTATGCCATCCATACTCCCTGCCCTGAGCAGATAATGCACTGTACTTAATGATTTCTAAGGGATCTTTCAGTTCTAAGACTATGATTTATGTCAGTCAACCTATAGTAAAGCATTGAACTGGGCCATGTACTCTTGAATTGTAGAGTAAAAAAAGGAAGCTGAAAAAAAAACCTGTTCATATGACTCCTAAGTTAGAATTCAGATTCTCAGGGTCATCAAAACCAGTCTTCCATTTGAATCCATCAAGAATAAAAAAGTTTGACTCCTTTGATGGTCAATACTTTACATTTTTCCTATGAAGACATATGCATACTTACTGAAAGATTATCGAGAAATAAAAGAGTAAGTTTATAATACAGTCATCAGGATCTTTAAACACAATTAGACTCAAAAAAATTTGATATAGATTCCTAGGGGATATGATGTCTATATTTAATGTAGATAAACTAAACTAAAAAAAAAAAAAAAACCAATTAGCTTTGAAAAAAAATCAGTTAACTGAATATATTAAAGTTTTAAAGTCTTATAAAATATAGGTTCTATTTGTTCTTTGTACAAAATATGTAGTGATTACAGTTAAGTCAAAATATTTTGACTTGTTCCTTTACGTCATCATAAGCATTTCTTTATTGCCAGGCAAGGTGGCACAAGTACCTGTAATCCCAGCACTAGGGAGGCTGAGGAGGCAGCAGAGTCACTGAGAGTTGGAGATCAGCCTAGGATACATAGTGAGTTCACGGCTGATCTAAATTATATGGTGAGACTTTCTTAAGAAGCAAAATAAAATAAAACAAAAATTCCTTTATTAAAAAAAAATAGAACTAGTGTCTATTTTACTATTTTTTGTTACATAAGAAATATAGCTAATTCCTTAACATAAAAAGCTGAGACATTTCCTAGCCTTCATAAACAATATAAAGTACATTTCATTAAAAAGAATACTGACACCTTTGTGTTAGACCAGAAGCTTATAGCAATAATTTGTTCCCAAAATAGTAATAATGCATTGCATAAACCATTTCTCTTAGAGGCCCAAAGAAGAAAAAAAAAAATTTATTAAGTCTAAGAATCAAAGATTACTTGGTATAGTTATGATTACATGCAGAATTTGATGGTTAGAAATAAAATCTATGTAGGTTCTTAGAGTAAGAATATCTTAGACCTTGGCAAATCTTCAGTTTCCATGAGTTTAATGAACCAGATATATAATTGTATCGCCGATATCTGCCCGTAGCCCATTTTCTGTGAGATGAATTTTCTTGCTTGTGAGATCCACATGGAAAACAGCATGCTCAGAAATGGGAGTCTTCTCCGTGTATTCTTTTCCCAGGACAGGAACTCGCCGCGGCCCCAACAGTGGATCATCAAATCTCATCAGTTTCACTTTGGAAAGGTCTATACCAGAAAAGATATCAATATAAGCATTTAACTCTAGTTAGAGGCTCAAACCCATGAATGAATCTGATGGTTCAAATTCAAACACACTGGTTTTTATACATAGGCAAAAATGACTTCATCAGACAAATAGGACCCAATCTCAGGTACAAAGTCAAAATCTAAATAAATCTTCATCCCTGTTCAGGATGCCCAATTCAAAGATTGTCAGAAGCTGGGCATAATGGCACATGTCCATTATCCCAGCACCTGAGATGCTGTGGCAGTAGTATCACCACAAATTTGAGGTCAGGCTGGGCTACATAGTGAGTTCAAGGCCAGTCTGAATTACACAGCAAGACCCTGTCTTAAAAAATCAAAACCAAAAAAGATATCAGAGTTCTGTATAACAAATTTCCTAGAATGGTGAATGAAGACAGAGAAAGAATGAAGTTTTTGGGGGGGCACTAATCTATGTGATCTACTACATGATCTATAAACTACATTTTATGTGGCTTCAAGTAAACATTCTTCACAATATCAAAAAGTCTAAAACTTACTTCTTTTTTGAACTTCTTGAAATACATTAAACTTACAAGACATGTAGCTTTTCTTGGAGATACATTTGGAGAAATAATTACTACTGTAAGAAATCCTATTACTCGTTTCTTGTTTTGCTCAAAAGATGAAAGTGTACGTATTAACAAATTGATGAGAGACAAGACAGAAGAGGGAGGGCAGAGGGAAAGGGTATAGCTTTTCAAATTTTGAGCTTTGAGCTCCAGTGCTTGATATTTTCCTGATCTGTTCTTGTGCAAGCTAAGATGGCTACTGGCAAAAAAAAAAAAAAGGCACTTGTCCCATGAACAAATTTATGATCCAACAATCCTGTCAATAACTGAGCCCAGAAGAAATTTTCTTAAGCCATTCTGAGACTTCCCAATATCAAATGGGTTTCTTTTGTATAGTGGAAGAAACACTACACATGACTACAAATGCTGGTTCCAGGCTTATATCTCATTCTAAGTATAGAATGGCTAGTTACACTTAACCTGATCCAAAAAATAGCAGATATTTTCTGAGTTACTTCCATCCCATTCTAAAACAGGTCCCTGGGTGGTCCATGAGCTATACTTCCTCATGTTGCCTTGAGAATATGAAGCTTAGGGTGACAGAGATAAGAGATATAAGGAGACATTAATGCAGCTGGCAGTGATATCATGAGGGCAAGTTGTTTGGGCAGTCTGCTCTGTTTGGAAAACACACACCAAAGAACCGTAAGTTTAGAGAACAAATCTTGGAGCTTAGAGAACAATTATCTTCAGCTACCATGAAAGCAAACCCTCCCTGAGTTTTTGGAGAGTCTCTTCAGAGACCATGCAATCTATTCCCAGATACTGCACAAGCCCCAAAAATTAAAATAGGAAAGGAGCAGGCACAGTCTTCATGACAAACATGATCTAATTTTAGGGAAGAATACAATTCATTTCAATAGCTACTGCAATTCAATTTGTATACCAGTGGTACCAAATACTTTGCTACAGAAGCAGTGCCAAGTCCTGCCAGTAGGTTTTATATATAAGACTCCCTCCGCACCCCAAAAAGTCTTCCTAAGCATTTCTAATTCAAACTATTTCAAATAAATCTAATACTCAATCAGCCTTCTAAGTAACAAAACACATTTGCTTTGATGTTTCACCATGTGGTTCATTACTGCCAATATATTCTTGAAGTTTTCTTAGTGGTTTTACTATCTTTTCTTATCTCAGACTTATCATTGAAAATGTTGAAATTTAAGTCTGCAGCTACACAAGATTTAAGGCACTTAGAGACAAGATGAGAGTGATTGAAAGTCCCTAGGGATTGATAATGTGAAATGGAGCCTTTCACCTCCACATTATTAGTTCACATGTGGCATGGATTGTGAGCGATTTAAAGTCATTATCATCAAACAGTTGCTCAGTGGCCTTTGTAGAGCGAAATGATATTTTAGTCTAGTGCCTCCTGGACCTAGATCATAATCACCTTCAATTCAATTGGCACTAATTGGATGACTTGCTAGCTATTGCAGCAGACAGACTTAAGAACTATGTTATTGAATTTAACTCGTTTTCCATCTCATATACTCAATATACTCAGCCCCTCAGATATCAAAGCATCCTGAGGGCTTTTAGAAGAGGATCAAGGTTGTCTCTTCTGTAGGTTCTTAGAGGAATAGCAATTTCAAACTCCACCCAATGTTTTTATCCATTTTCTAAAATTTACAGCAGGTACTAGCACCAAACTTAAAATACTGTATAATAATATTATTCACTAGTATAACAAAGGAGATAAAAACTGTGCCAGGGGCTCCATGAGAAAAGACAAGAGCCAGAAAACACACGTCAGCGTAATTCTGAAGAACCTACTCGGTGTTCTATGCAAGTATGTTTACATACTTCCTGTTACAAAATCTTCTCTGACTGAAAATATGCAACATAAATATGGTAAAGCACAAAAATGACTTCCTATATATTCATATTTCCCAATTTTAAAGTTCTATTTCTCGTGGTCTGTAAGTTCCAAGGATGGGGCTACCATTCTATGGTAGCTAGTTTACCTAGGGAACAAAATAAATGTAACAACATGAATGAATCTGGAAGACAGTTTGTTAAGCGAAACAGACAGGTGGCACGTGCTTACAGGAACATCTACTCAGGAGGCCGAGGACCACTGCTTGTGTCCAGGTCACAGACACCTTGGGCAAGGAGCACTCCATCTCTTAAAACAGTAAGGAAAAATAAATACAAAAATGAATTTAATCTAAAGAAAAAAATAAATATTATACGACTGCATCAGTCATACTTATAGAGGCAGAAAGTGAAGGAGTGTCTGTCTACCAGTGTCTGGGGGAAGCAGGATGGGGAGTTACGGTTTAATGGTTATAAGGTTTCACTTTGGAAGATGAAAAAGTTCTGGAGATAGACGGAGTGATAGGTGTACAACAGTATGAATATGTTCAACACCACTGAGCTATACACTTAAAAATGACTAAAATGGTAAGGTTTTTTTTGGGGTTTTTTGAGACAGGGTCTCACTATGTAGTTGAAACTGACCTGGAATTCACTATGCAGCCCAGGCTGGTTTCAAACTCACAGTGGTCCTCCTGACTCAGCCTCCTGAGTGCTGGGATTACAGGTGTGCGCCAACACGCCCGGCTTACAATGGTAAGTTTTATATTATGCATATTTTATCATAATTTAAAAGTATGCCTAGAGGGCCAAGAGATGAAGGTGGGGAGGGAATGTAAAAGGACATAAAAGGAAATTAAGATGTGCCATATCCATGTACCAACTTCCCAAACAGATGTCCACAGAAAGGAAATGAATAACTGCAGGAGAATGTAAAACATGTGGTAGAATAGATTCGTCTTCTATTTTAATAGGCTGTTACTACCTTGAATAGAGACCTATAATTTAGGTCAGCCTGAGACTTATAAATCTTTTTAGAAATCCTTTATACTGATAGAAAATGGACCAATCTACTTCTGATTGCTATGAAAATAGAACAGAGGGCTAGGATTATAGCCGAGCAGTAGAGCAATTACCTACATGTGCAAGGCCCTGGATTTGATCCCCAGCATCATCAAAACAAAATAAGAAAAGACAGACTATGAAAAAATACAGAATGTCAACACTAATTTGTCTTCATAATAAGAGGAAAAATAATACAAAGATACACTAACTTGCTTCACAACTCTGCTCAGCCTAGGACCTGAGAGATTAAAAAAAATTAAGTCATAAATTATTATACCGAATCTAATCACAGATGACACATACTTCATCAGAAATTGAGATTATTTACATATTTTACCAGGAGGCACACTGCTTTGAAGAAAAAATTTGAGCTTTGGAGTCAAACAGACCCATGTTTGAATTCCAGCTCCACATTTACTAGTTGAATGAATTTTGCAAGTTACTTAGCTTTTCTAAGCCTCTGTTTCATTAACCGTACAAGGAGAGGAATTATACTTTCTATATCATAGGCTATAAAAGTATTAAATGGCTAGTACTTGGCAACACTCAAGAACTTTTATTCGGTTTCTCCTTCTTCACCAGGAAAAGAGCCAAAGGGACAAGTTAGTTTAGAATATTAGACACATGTTCCATAATTCTGAATCACCTTTCAAAGATAGAAAATACTGGTTACAGTTTTAAAACTAGACGGAGTCTTGGAAAAATATCTAATCCAATGCCCTCATATTACTAAAAGAGAAATCATTTTAGAGCTTAAGTGACATAGCAAAGTCATCAACCTATCTAGCTGAGTCCCAAAAATATTGGTTTCTTGATTCTGGGCCCAGTACTCTTTCCATAGTATCACATAGCTGTACTGAAGCAAGACAGTTAAACATTTCTTTCTCCCTTCTGCTTAGTACTCATCAAATCCATAAGCTACTGCCAAATGTGAGTTTTAGGGATATCATTTACCTTTGATTCCTCGCTCTGCTTTCATTAAACGCCTGATTATAGAATCACAGTTATCCCCTTGCCTGATTTCAATTTTGGTTGAGAAGTGACCACTGGATGGCTGGGGATTTACTAGAGAAACTGGCACACCAGGCTAGGAAGATGAAGAGTAAAGTATTGTTATAGAAAATTAAACCTGAATACTGCCAAGGGATGGAATAATCTCTGCTACATTTTTAATACCTAGTAAAAGCCAGAGCTAATCCTGCTGTTCTAAAATCATGAGCAAGACATATTCAAATACGACAGAAATGTCATCAAGCTAATGCTTATAACTAGATGCCTAAGTAAAAATGACTGCAACTCCATATGTCAATACGGATAGACAATAACAATAATTACATTTTCTCTTCCACAACTACTACCATTTCTCTACCAAAACTACTCCACTTAACATGAAATTCTCAGTTCTAAGCCCACCTCTCACAGCATAGAAAGTACTTTTTGCCAGGGCCATAGATTTAGCTCAGTGGTTCTGCCGCCTGCCTCAAGGACAAGGTTCCAAGTTCAATTCCCGGTACCAACAAAAAAGAAAGTACTTTTTGCCAAATGCTGCCAATCTGACTGGATTCTCTGAGGCTAAACAGAATCTCTAAAACCTCCAAAATCATTTAATCTTGCTGCATCAGTCCGGTTTCCATCAAAAACCAAACAGCCTTGAATAGCAGACTCATCTGAAGCTTGAAAGCTCCTTTTCACTGCTTAAAAAAGCTATACAATTCAATTCCTACAGCATTTTTTAAGTAAAAAGCAAATACTGAAAATTGTTTTTTTAAAAAAAACATTTAATATCTGATACCATCGATAAGAGTAAAGTAAGAAGTTGAATCTTGCAATAAACAGGAATAGGACACTTTAAATCCATCCCATTTCTAACTATAGCCTGGAGCAAAACATTCATTTACTTTCTCTGTATTTCTTTCCATCTTTAGAATGACGAGTAATGATTTCTAAGATCTTCTCTAGCTCAAAAATGCACTCATTTAGTAAGATTTCTTCAACTTACTTCCATTCTAAAAACATTAAGTGGTTTCCCAGGACAACAGTCTTCTCTGACTTTATCTTCTGCTTCAGAGGCAAACTTGACTTCTATGTGTTCTAGCTAAATAGAGGGGAAAAAAATGGAAGTCATTAGTATCGCTTAATAAGATTGAAATTAATCACCACCTCATTTCATCAAGAGCCAAACTAGGCTCTCCACTTAACATGAAATGGTCTGTGCAATATTATTTTCCATATAAACATTGAATGAAATCTGTAATAAGTTATTTAACACTCATCTTAGATGTCGCTCAGTACTGCTCTTTAGTCACATTTATCATTTTCTGTAATGAAATCTATGTCTGCCACATAAGAGAAAAAGTAAACCAGTGTAAAAGGCTTCCAGTTAGACAATCAGAAGTTTCAGAGATTTATCATTTGAGAAGAAGGCTTCCATTTAAATAAATGGAAGAGGGCCAGGGATTTAGCTCAGTGGCACCGTGCCTGCCTCGAAAGTGCAAGATCCTGAGTTTGATCCGCAGTACCAAAAAAAAAAAAAAAGATAATAACATAAATAAATAAATGGAAGAAAAGCTCAAAAATGTATATAAAAGATGACCCTAAATATAAGGCATATCCCCACTTGTTCAAATCAAACAATCCAAGTTTTCTGGCTTATGCAAATATATAAGAACATTTAGATCCACATATATATAAAAAAAAATAGCTACTAATATTTAATTTCAGTATTAACTCATTTTTCAAAAATGCTCAGGGGCTGGGAGCAGAGCTCAACGGTACAGCACATGCTTACCTAACACAAGGTCCTGGGTCAACTCTCAGCATCAAAAAAATACTAATCAAAGAAAAAAATACTAATCAAATAAAATGCTCATGTAGACATACTTTTCTTCTGTCTCTATTTTATGAAACCATTTCATTCAATTGCTAAACTTGCTTTAAAATGTAAGTATCTTTATTTTAATCACCAGAACAATTTTCTGATCCCTCTAACAGTTTTCTAGGGCAAATTATCTTTCTTTCTGCCTAAGTCGTCTGAGAGAAAGCATTGTTAGACTTTACGTCGAAGTTGTGATTGATAATACAATATGGACCACTGATTATATCTAATTCGATTCTGTGAAACTGGGATTTGAAAGGCAAGAAGGCGGCAAGAAGCCACTCACGTGTTCCAGAATGTATTTAAATATAAAAAATATAAAATAAATATAAAATATAAATATAAAAAAGACCTCTCTTGACAATTTGGAGAGTATGCCTAGGCAGTACAGTTAATTTTTGATGTATAGGATAACTGACAAATGAAATAAGATGACAGATCATTTTTTTCTTTCTGTAACTTTTATACCCACTTATTCTTTTTCATTTCAAAAATATTTTTGACTGATGTACTTGGCAACAGTACTGAGTATACAAGATGAAGTTTATAAAAAGGCTTATTATAAAAGAACTGGCATCTGGCTTACAACAGTTGAACAGTAATTACAATCCCTGGGCTTCTTACCTCAAGGGAATTAGTCAGGTAGACTATATTTTCCATAAGCACTGCCTGTTCATCAAATTCCAATTGCAAATCCAGAACACGAGGCCCCATCTTCTCCACATTTTCCTAATAGTCAAAATAGTTTTGAGATACAAAATAATATTAAAAATACGTTGAAAAGAGCCAGGACAAAGTGACTCACATCGTAATCCCAGATATTCTGGAGGCTAAGACATGATGATTTAAAAAGGGTGTGGGATGTAGCTCTACAGTAGAATGCCCTTAGGTTCAATCTCTTGTACTACAAATAATACATAGAGAAGAGTGTATTTCCTCCAAACCAACCACTCTTCTCAATTGATAAAAATCTTTAAATTCAACAGTTAAAAGAAAGGTAGATTCATTTTCCTTATTTAAGGTTACCTGTTAATAAAATTACTAGCTCAGAGTAACTATCATTTAAAGATTAATGGCAGCATTGAAAAAATAGGAAGTCACAAGATAAATATGGTTTATCATTCCTTAGACTGTCTTCATATACAAACTCAAAGAATTTACTTTGACAAAGAAGCAAATGTAAAGAAAATATCCTTTCAGTTAAAATTTTTAAAGTACTTTTTAAATTTTCCAAGATACCAAGTGAATAATTTCCAAAGATACCCAGGGTGGCAATGTGAGTCTGAAGACACCTGATGGAGCCTGCCCTGGCCCCTCTACGACACCTGCAGGCTGGCTGGCCTCCAACCGCGGAATCCAGAAACCAGAGGCACTACCAGGACTGCAGTAGGCTTCAAAGGCTTACTCTGCCACTCTGCAGGAATCCTAACACGTGCCTCTGCCACTTGTTGCTGCCTGTTCCCCCTCCTGCACTCTGGACCTTACCTCTTCCTTACAAAGCAAATCCAGACCAACTCAAGCCTTGAGGAACTAGCCCCAGGCCTAAAACCCTTCCACATTATAATTCCTTGGGTACCCTTCCTCATCCATAGATTGCCAAATAGCATTTCCTGGTATCATATCAGTACTCTTTATCACAGTAATTTTTTTTGGTACTGAGGATTAAACTCAGGCCCTTGCACTTGCGAGGCAGGCGGCAGAACCATTGAGATTAATCCCCAGTCCAGTAATGTATTATATTAAGATTCTCCTGGTTAAACTGTGTGAGTTCAGCCAGTTATAGTGGTACATGTCCGTAATTCCACCACTCTGGGAGGTTGAGGCAGGAGGATCTCAAGTTCAAGCCCAGTCTGGGCAACTTAGCAAGACTTTGTCTCAAAATGAAAAATAAAAAGGCTGGGGATATAGCTCTGTGTGGAGGCCCTGGGTTCAAGCCCAGTACCAGAAAAGAAAAAGAAAAAGTCATACTACACAGTTACTCAGATGATCTTACAGCATACAAAAAAATTTCTTACTCTTAATTTTCCTGAACATTAAATATTTGCTACTTAAAATGTAATATTAGCAATCCAAGTTCATAAACACAGATCTATGGTCTAGAACACACTGCACTCATATGAAAGTAACTATCCACTGCTTTTTTTTTTTTTTTTTTTTTT